ACCGCCCACACCACCGGCGCCACAATGCAGGAGGCCCGGAGTATGGGGGAGTTGTCAATGGGCCTCTCCTTTGGGTCGTACAGCCGTGACAGTACATCTGCCTTCACCTTCTTCGTGCCTGGTATGTAGGACAACGTGAAATCAAACCAGTTGACGAACAAGGCCCACCTGGCCTGGCGAGGGTTCAGCCTCCTCCCTGCCCGGATGTACTCGAGCCAGTGCCTCCACGCTGTCAGGGCTCTGACAACAGCCAACAGCTACCGATCACCAACGTCATAGTTCTGCTCCGCCGGGCTGAGCTTCTTAGAGAAGAAGTCACAGGGGCGGAGCTTTGTTGGCATGCCCGAGTGTTGGGATAGGACAGTGCCTACCCCTACCTCGGACGCATCCACCTCCACTATGAACAGCAATGATGGATCGGGATGGGCCAGTACCGGGGCTGAGGTGAACAGACCCCTCAGGTTACTGAAAGCCCTGTCAGCCTCAGCAGACCAGCGGAGCCAGGATGACCCACCCTTCAACAGAGAGGTGATGGGAGCTGCGACCTTGCCAAAGCCCCGGATAAACCTTTGATAGTAATTGGCAAAGCCAATGAAGCGCTGCACCTCCTTTACCGTGGTTGGAGTCGGCCAATTATGCACGGCTGAAATGCGGTCTCCCTCCATCTCCACACCTGAGGTGGTGATGTGGTATCCGAGGAGGAGACGGATTGTTGGAAGAACAGACAGTTTTCTGCCTTGGCATACAGGCTATGCTCCAACAGTCGGCTCAGCACTCTGCGAACCAGGGACACATGCTTGGCATGCGTAGCGGAATACATGAGGATGTCATCGATGTTGACCACCACACCGCGACCAAGCATGTCCCGAAACACCTCGTTCACAAAGGACTGGAAGACTGATGGAGCATTCATCAACCCGTAGGGCATCACCAGGTATTCATAATGCCCCGTGGTTGTGCTGAATGGTGTCTTCTACACGTCCCCTTCCCGGACACACACCAGGTTGTCCACACTCCTGAGATCTAATTTCGTGAAGAAGCGTGCCCCATGCATTGATTTGATCACAGAGGAAATTAGTGGTCGAGGATAACTATAGCGAACGGTAGTTTTAGTGCACAGTAATCAATGCAAGGGCGCAGACCCCCGACTTTCTTCTTCACTAAAAAGAAAGTTGAGGAGGCGGGTGAAGTGGAGGGACGTACGAACCCCTGATGCAGGGACTCTGAGACGTATGTTTCCATAGCCTCCGTTTCGGCCTGCGACAGGGGATATACATGACTCCTGGGAGACACAGCGTCTAACCGGAGGTTTATCGCGCAATCCCCCGCCCGATGGGGCGGTAATTTCGTCGCCTGCGTTTTGGAAAAAGCATGCGCCAAATCGAGGTATTCGGAGGGAATGACACGGTGGAGGTATTGTCTGGACTTTCCACCGTGGTCGCACCAACGGAAACAGCTAGACACCTACCCTGACACTCTCGCGACCACCCCATGAGAACCCCCTGTGGCCATGAAAAGGTGGGGTTGTGTAGTGCTAGCCAGAACCAGAAGAACTCTGATGACATTGTGCAGCAGAATGTCCTCTCTTGCCACAAGAGTGACACTGGATCTGTCGTCCTCCATTCTCCCGGAACGCTGCACCCAGATCCATCAGAACGTGATCCAGGTTGAAGGGGGGTGAAACGGGCAGGCCCCTTCCAGGACGTCCTCTCGAAACCAGCAGTTTGTCCAACCGGATGGCCATGTCCACCAGTTGGTTGAAGGTCAACGTAGCAGGCTAGCTCCCTTCAGATATCCTCACACAGGCTGCATCGGAAGTGGTCGAAGAGGGCCCGCTCATTCTACCCGGACCTAGCCGCCAGAGTTCTAAACTCCAGGGCAAATTCTTGCGCGGTCCTCGTCCCCTGCCTCAGATGGACCAGACACTCGCCCGCCTCTCTTCCTTGGGGGGATGATCGAAGACTGCCCGGAAAAGGCGAGCGAACTTTCCGTAGTTGTCCAACGCGTCTCCTCCTTCAATCCAGACCGCGATGGCCCACTCCAGGGCTTTCCCCGAGAGGCAGGAGACGAGGGCGGACACCTTCTCCCGATCCAATGGAGCAGGGCTGATGATGTGGAAATAGAGGTCCAACTGCAGGAGGAAACCCTAGCAGCGGTCCGCTGTCCTGTCATATTCCCTCGGTCGAGACAGGTGAATACCTCTGGGTGCTGGTGCCTGGGTGGCTGGATCCGGTCTCTCAGCTGGTTCCGCAGGGTCAGGTCCTCTCCTCTCCAGGCGCTGGACGACCTGGAGAACCCGATCCATCGCTTCGCCCAAGCTGGCTAGCATGTTGTAATGCTCCTGGACCCGCTCTAAGACTCCAGCCATACTCCCTGCTCCTGCTGACTCCAGCCATACTCCCCGCTCCTGCTGACTCCATGCTGTTGGGTGTGTGATTCTGTAGCGGGTGATTTGGATGAAGTCAGGTGCAGGAGGTGTAGATCACAGAATAATGGTTTATTTGGCCAATACAGTGGTCTGCAGCAATGCATAAAACAACTACAGTGCGACTTAACGGCACACTGGGAAAAACAAAACACGGGTGAATATCCCGGCGATAAAGTACATAATGCTCCACCGAGCTATCGACACCTCCACATGGAAACAATCACACACAAAGACATAAGGGGCAGAGGGAATACTTATTCAGGGACTGATGAAGGGATATGAACCAGGTGTGTGTATAAACAAGACAAAACAAATGGAATGATGAGAGAGGAGCGGCAGTGGATAGAAGTCGTGACACTGTGATGGCACTGAGGTGAACTTTTGCAGATGCAACACTATCTGTGCAGCAAACACTGGGCAAGCCAGAAGCTTCAAAGAATGAAACTATTTCATGGCAGTCTGACAAACCTCTAAAGTTGATTTCCAAACTGTATCAGGGGTTGATAGAGGCTTTTCCCAATGACACAAAACATGTAAAACTAAAATGTGAGGAAGACCTGGGAGACGCTACTGAGGATGATGAATGGATGCAGATATGTTTGAATGCCCAGTCATGTTCATAGAATCTCAGACATAAATTACTGCAGTTTAAGACCATCCATAGAATGAACTATATGCCAGTGAAACTGAATATCAGAAATGTAATTCCTCTGCTGGAGGTGTAATACATATAAGGGAACATCTTTCAATATGTGATGGTCTTGTGAAGGCTGGCTGAATTCTGGAAAATAGTATATTCTTTTATCTCAGCATGTCTAGAGATTCTCCCTGTTTTTGTTTGCTTGGAAATGTTGATACTGGAGATCGTTATCAGAAGAAACTGTGTAACCTAGCATTTATAGCGGCTAAGAAATGCATTGCCATTAATTGGAAGTTTGGTTCTCCTCCCTCAATGTCCCAATGGATGGCAGAAATGTCAAGTTATGTATCACTAGATTTGATTTATTACAAGATTAAGGGTATACTGGGCAACTTTCATAAGGTCTGGATGCCTTATATGGAATACAGTACGACTAAAGGAGTCTGTACTGAAAACAGGCCCACCTCAGGGGAGATACCTATTTAGACAATCCCTAGCTGCGGGGCTGATCAGTCCTGGCCCTGGGGGTCTGCCGTCCTGTGGGTTGTTACTCTGGCCTTGGCCTAACACACCTGAAACCAATAATGAATGTTTCACTAAGATCCTAAAGCTGAGTGGGGTGTGTTGGGTTGTGATGGACCCCTAGGGGCAGGACGGGGCGACCCAGATATATTGTGTGCAAGTAGAAAGAGCTCTACAGTACTATTAGGACTATGATATAGGGAGGTTAGCATTTTTTGGGGGGTACGATATACGTGCGTCTATACATTTCTCATTCATCATTATTCACAATTCATTCAGGATTATCCATAATCATGGTAGCATCCAAATTCATGTAGAAGTGTTTAGAAACATATTCAGGGCTTAAAATATGTTTGGGGTCCACCAGTCACTCAGATTTTTTACCAGCCCAAACAAGTTTTCCCCGGTAAAATTATAACAACAAAACACAGAAAAATAGATGAGCATGCTTTGTAATGTTTCAAAAACAATAAATGTATTACTAGTGAGAAGTAATGTGATTGTTTAAAACCAAAATATCACAGATGAGACAAAAATGTTCACCTGCCCCTTTAAGGGTGGGAGGTTACTTGAAACTCAAACATTGAAAAACAACCTAGCTTGTGAACAAAACAATGTAAATAGCCAAGAAACACAAAGACAAAGTCTCATTTCAAATAAATTAGACCAACTTTTATGCCTGTGCGCAGCGCTTCTGAAAATGTGGGCACAGACCCCAACCAGGCAGCGTGAGGTGAGATAGGATTCATCCTTTGATTTAGTACGATTAATGCTGTGTGATTAGGGTTACACTGTAGTGATTAGTGCCAGCTATGAAACAAAACGGCAGAAATACTTTCCAACAGCTACTGCGGCATTTATTATTATATTTATTATATTTTTATTATTTGACTATAAATGTGATCACACTATTTTAATTCACTGTGGAGCCCTTGTGGTCTTGACATGGGAAATAGACAATGACAAAATCTACACACATTTGGCAGGTGGCGGGTGTTCTTTTTAGGCCCTGAACGTATTCTATTCTTATTTACAATAACAGTGACCCCAAAACGGTCATGTTAGATTATGTAGAAATGCAGGAAATGAGCTTTAGATGCCCAAAACATTCTGAGGGAGGTCCCCCTCACTTCTAAAACCAAAGTTGCGCCCCTGAGCATGACAATGGTTGGCTGGAACAGGCCACTTACTTTGCATTGATGCGCTAGCACCACACCATGATGGGAAAAAGTGTTCAGAGTTTGCAGTCCAGTATGCACTCTTCAGCTACAATGTAATCCACTTGACTGAAAGTATCAACATCACTCTTGGAAGAATTCTGCACTAAGGAACGTTAAGGGTGGAACTGGGCTTTTAATAAACAAGTCCTGACTAGGAGTTTTTTGAAACACTACTCTAGCCTAGTTTACTTGAATGAAAGATAGACTCACTGAGTCCTCTGTCCTTCTCATTCAGCTCTCCATCATTCCTCTTGGTACAGCGAAAGCTTCTGAACAGTAGGTAGAGGTGGCTGAACACGATGAGGGGTGGAGGGAGTAGCGGACGGTCATGGAAGATCATAATCAGCTGATATCTCTGGAACTTCCAGATCTGGTTGGAGATGGCCTTCACCTCCAGAAAAGTGTTGCTGTGGGAGAGGAGGTACAGGTCAGTAGAGCGTTATAGCTAACCCTAACCCTGACCCTAATTCTACCTAACCTTGCAAGGGGAGGGGGGGTAAGACAGATGTCTTATTTGAGATACTATTTGAAGAGGTTTCAGATGATGGGCAGAAACGCGCGACCCAAGTGACTAAACAGCGAGCTGTGACTCACTGGTCTGATAACTCGGGCTTGTAAAAGGGGAGGTAATTTGTATCAACTTTGAGAGACTTTTTGTTCTCATATGCACGCTATTTGCATGCTCAACCCCCCACCCCCCCCACGCTTCCTCGTCAATTTGCTACGCCCCCACTAGAGAGGTAAACAAGCCAAGCTAAAGTTAGGTTAGCTGGCTAGCTACCCCCTACGCCCCCACTAGAGAGGTAAACAAGCCAAGCTAAAGTTAGGTTAGCTGGCTAGCTAACTAAAACTGTGGGGAGATAGAGAGACAACACTGCCACATAGTAACGACCAACATAGGGATTAAAATAGGAGCAACTTGAAGCATTTCAAGCCTTTGTGTGAGGGGAGGATGTATAGCTAGCTAGTTCTAGTCTTCAAGAAGCTAGGAAAACAGCCTCCAATATGACAATCGTGCCCCCACTAAAGGCTGTGAAGGACGGAGGACCAAATCAGCGAGGCAACAGCCCTGGGTCTCAGAGCGGTGATTGTGGAGGAAGACAAAAAACGCTATATGGGAGGGTGCATGCGACCTTGTCTTCGGAAGTCCAGAGAGCTGGTTGGGGAAGACATTTTACATTTACATTTTAGTCATTTAGCAGACGCTCCTATCCAGAGTGGCTTAGTTAGTGCATTCATCTTCAGATAGCTAGGTGGGACAACCACATATCACAGTCACAGTAGGTACATTCATCTTCAGATAGCTAGGTGAGACAACCACATATCCCAGGCATAGTAGGTACATTTATTCTCAGCAAAGTCAGTGCTAGTAGTCTGCGAGAGATGTGTTGGTCTCAGTCCTATACAGCTCCATATGACCTACCTACCTATGGTACAATGACCTAGAACTGTGCTTTGACGGTAAAGAATGGCACTGAGATGGATACATGTAATGTCAGAATGGAAATTATAGTGAGTTATTGATTGAAAGTTTTGTATTTGTACAAACGTAATGATTAAGAAGTGATTGGTTGCATGAGCTATTTGCGTGATAGGCCTATAAGACATTGAGCAAACTAAATGGCGCCGGAGAAGATGGCTGCCGTTTTACAGCCCTCTAACCAATTGTACTATTATGTGTGTTTTTCCGCGTTATTTGTAATTTATTCTATACATAATGTTTCTGCCATCGTCTCTTATAACTAAAAAGAGCTTCTGGATATCAGGACAGCGATTACTCACTTCGTATTGGACGAAGATTTTTTCTTCAACAAGTCGGACGCGAAGGATATCCTACAGACACTCGACAAGGCCCAAATCCCCGTCATTCGCATGAGAAAGAGACAGAGATATTGTGGATGTAGGTCGGGGTGCCTTGTAAGGATCCGACGGCGAGCGAGTAAACTGCCTCTTCCATCAATCCTATTAGCCAATGTTCAATCATTTGAGAATCAATTAGATGACCTAAGATTACGGTTATCCTACCAACGGGACATTAAAAACTGTAATATCTTATGTTTCACCGAGTCGTGGCTGAACGACGACATGGACAACATACAGTGGGGGAAAAAAGTATTTAGTCAGCCACCAATTGTGCAAGTTCTCCCACTTAAAAAGATGAGAGAAGCCTGTAATTTTCATCATAGGTACACGTCAACTATGACAGACAAAATGAGATTTTTTTTCTCCAGAAAATCACATTGTAGGATTTTTTATGAATATATTTGCAAATTATAATAAATAATATAAACAAATTGGTGAATTATGGTGGAAAATAAGTATTTGGTCAATAACAAAAGTTTCTCAACACTTTGTTATATACCCTTTGTTGGCAATGACACAGGTCAAACGTTTTCTGTAAGTCTTCACAAGGTTTTCACACACTGTTGCTGTTATTTTGGCCCATTCCTCCATGCAGATCTCCTCTAGAGCAGTGATGTTTTGGGGCTGTCGCTGGGCAACACAGACTTTCAACTCCCTCCAAATATTTTCTATGGGGTTGAGATCTGGAGACTGGCTAGGCCACTCCAGGACCTTGAAATGCTTCTTACGAAGCCACTCCTTCATTGCCCGGGCGCTGTGTTTGGGATCATTGTCATGCTGAAAGACCCAGCCACGTTTCATCTTCAATGCCCTTGCTGATGGAAGGAGGTTTTCACTCAAAATCTCATGATACATGGCCCCATTCATTCTTTCCTTTACACGGATCAGTCGTCCTGGTCCCTTTGCAGAAAAACAGCCCCAAAGCATGATGTTTCCACCCCCATGCTTCACAGTAGGTATGGTGTTCTTTGGATGCAACTCAGCATTCTTTGTCCTCCAAACACAACGAGTTGTGTTTTTACCAAAAAGTTATATTTTGGTTTCATCTGACCATATGACATTCTCCCAATCCTCTTCTGGATCATCCAAATGCACTCTAGCAATCTTCAGACGGGCCTGGACATGTACTGGCTTAAGCAGGGGGACACGTCTCGCACTGCAGGTTTTGAGTCCCTGGCGGCGTAGTGTGTTACTGATGGTAGGCTTTGTTACTTTGGTCCAAGCTCTCTGCAGGTCATTCACTAGGTCCCCCCGTGTGGTTCTGGGATTTTTGCTCACCGTTCTTGTGATCATTTTGACCCCACGGGGTGAGATCTTGCGTGGAGCCCCAGATCGAGGGAGATTATCAGTGGTCTTGTATGTCTTCCATTTCCTAATAATTGCTCCCACAGTTGATTTCTTCAAACCAAGCTGCTTACATATTGCAGATTCAGTCTTCCCAGCCTGGTGCAGGTCTACAATTTTGTTTCTGGTGTCCTTTGACAGCTCTTTGGTCTTGGCCATAGTGGAGTTTGGAGTGTGACTGTTTGAGGTTGTGGACAGGTGTCTTTTATACTGATAACAAGTTCAAACAGGTGCCATTAATACAGGTAACGAGTGGAGGACAGAGGAGCCTCTTAAAGAAGAAGTTACAGGTCTGTGAGAGCCAGAAATCTTGCTTGTTTGTAGGTGACCAAATACTTATTTTCCACCATAATTTGGAAATAAATTCATAAAAAATCCTACAATGTGATTTTATGGAAATGTTTTTCTCAATTTGTCTGTCATAGTTGACGTGTACCTATGATGAAAATTACAGGCCTCTCTCATCTTTTTAAGTGGGAGAACTTGCTCAATTGGTGGCTGACTAAATACTTTTTTTCCCCACTGTACAGCTAGTGGGCTATACGCTACATCGGCAGGATAGAACAGCTGATTCCGGTAAGACAAGGGGTGGCGGTCTGTGTATATTTGTAAAAAACAACTGGTGCACAACATCAAATACTAAGGAAGTCTCGAGGTTTTGCTCGCCTGAGGTAGAGTATCTTATGATAAGCTGTAGACCACACTATTTACCAAAATAGTTTTCATCTATATTTTTCATAGCTGTCTTTTTACCACCACAAACCAATGCTGGCATTAAGATTGCACTGAATGAGCTGTATAGAGGTGGCGCTCCTAGTGGCCGGGGACTTTAATGCAGGGAAACTTACATCTGTTCTACCTCATTTCTACCAGCATGTTAAATGTGCAACCAGAGGAAAAAAAACAAGACAGACAAGACTGTACTACCCATGATTCACATCATGGGTAGTACAGTAGTAGCTAGCTAGAATGCATGGGTGATTCACATCATGGGTAGTACAGTAGTAGCTAGCTAGAATGCATGGGTGATTCACATCATGGGTATTACAGTAGTAGCTAGCTAGAATGCATGGGTGATTCACATCATGGGTAGTACAGTAGTAGCTAGCTAGAATGCATGGGTGATTCACATCATGGGTGATTCACATCACTGCCCTACTATGTAAACAGAGGACATCCAAGAAGGAAAACGAATAACTTCAGTGCAATAAGGAAACTAGTTAATTTATAACTAAAACATACATTTGATTAGCTAGCCGATTTCAAGTTGTTACCAAGCAAGCTAAAGTTATTAGCTGGTTGGCTTTCTATGGGCTGAACAATGCTAGACGGTTTGTTTTAGCTAGCAAGCTACTGTGTGTTTGCTTATCCCGGAAGGGCTGGCTGGAAGGGGAAGGGCTGGGGCGGTCCTATGTAAAACAATAGATCATGATTAGTTCATTTCAAAACGGGGATATCCAACCAGCATAGGGTGCAGCCTTGAAGTCTGAGGGAACAGCCCCTTCATTACCGTTCATTACAGCAGCCGTTCCAGACGGCCAAGTCAGGGAGACTGGTGTCAGCCAGACTAGGGACTCTGCTGTTCTAGCATCAAGGGGAAGCTTGTTCCACCATTGGGGTGCTAGGACAGAGAAGAGCTTTGACTGGGTTGACTAGCTAACCAACTAACCTCCTCCAAACAAAGATAGGTGTAGTTGTGGCCATCTCATGAGAGTTTCCTAAAGACAAAGTTATCTGTAGGGCGTGTAGGTATGATGTAGTTGTGGCCATCTCATGAGAGTTTCCTAAAGACAAAGTTATCTGTAGGGCGTGTAGGTATGATGTAGTTGTGGCCATCTCATGAGAGTTTCCTAAAGACAAAGTTATCTGTAGGGCGTGTAGGTATGATGTAGTTGTGGCCATCTCATGAGAGTTTCCTAAAGACAAAGTTATCTGTAGGGCGTGAGTTTCTGCTGTTGCTTTCATGGTAGAAACAAGCCTACATCCCTGAGCTCAGGCCAGGCACAGGAAGTACTAAAGTGTAACTTGTGTCCAACTTTTGTACTAATCTCTGAACCCAGATTAAAATCTTGCCTGCGCCAGCTAGCTAGCTCTGTCACAAGAGACTAGTTGTCAACTTGACAAAGTTTCACATTTCCAGTTTCTGTCAACTTACTTGAAGACAGCGATCAGCAGGTTGACCAGCAGGATGTTGGCCACCAGTAGATAACAGGCCATGAGGGCCGGGGTTAGCCAGGCTCCAGGGATACACGGAGGCAGCTTCTTACCATCCTCATCGTACAGGTTCTCCCCACAGGGAGCTGGGGGGGGGGGGGGGGGGGGGTAGAAGAAGAATGCTTTAGCATTCAAAATAACGCTCTCCACATTGCCACTTTGAAAATAAAACTTCTTGAAGAATACTCACGGTTGATTTCCATTGCATAGACTTGAAGCAGTTCCAGAAATAATGAAAAAAAGACAGAGAGGCAAAATAAAAAGGCAGGAATACAGAGACGACATCATACTTCTGTCACGGTCAAGACCAGGTGAAGTCAAAGCCTGTCCTGTGCTGCTGAGAGACTATCCGAGACGAAATCAAGACAGACATATTCTTTTTATGTTTTGTCATTGTTTTCCATTGAATAGTTCAATGTTAATTGAAAGGCTTCACCTTGACAGAAGGAACACAGTTCATGTTAAATAAACAAGTGGGTGGATGATCGTTGGTGGAGTGAGGAGACAATGATTTCTTCTAGTGTATCAGTACACAATGGACACAACAGACATAGTTATCATTGTATCATACAGTACGTCAAGACAACAGCTTTACCAATGTGTCAACAGAGTGAGCGAAGATCTTGCTGAACAGAACAGAAAGTTTGTTGGTATTCAGACAGAGCAGAGAACAGCAAGAGGGTACAGTCAGGGAGAACAGATGTGTACCATGTTCAAGACAGAAAGTAAGCACACATTATGGATAAATATAGGACAGATCAAAACATGGACAAACAGGACTGATCATCCGCCCGTGAAACAGGAAACAGAATCTTACTATAAATCTGAGTCTTACGGTCGATCGAGTCAGCAAACACCTCTCCATAGATCATCCAGTACGGCATGTAGAAGATGTTCCTGGCCAGACGCCATGTTGGCTCCTCGTCAGGGTGCAGGATGGCCTGCCGCGCCACCCCGAAACTCATCAACACCACCAACATGATTACCACGAAGTACAGCATGTCAATCATCTAGAACATAGAACCACATGATCACCATGAAGTACAGCATGTCAATCATCTAGAACATAGAACGCAGCATGTTAATCATTCTAATCTAGAACATAGAACACAGCATGTTAATCATTCTCATCTAGAACATAGAACACAGCATGTCAGTCATCTGGAATAAATGATTTGTAGTTAAGCCAATGGGATGCCATTGTTTGTTTAGTTTATAACTTGTCCTCCCCTTCATCCTCTGGTATGGTCAGAGGTCGTAGGCCTCAAGACAAGCAGACTGAGTATCGGGGGGGGGGGGGGGGGGGGGTAACTCCCTGTAATCTGTGCTGTATTATATTGGGGTTTTATCCTCGATAATGTTTAATGGATGTAATGTTGTCTCTTGAGCAGCCTGCTAACTTTGAATTATCAAAAAGAAATCAATCAATCAATTAATGAAGTTACCATTTTCCCAATCATCATGACATAGGGTCCCAGGTACTTGTTGACCCCGAAGATGTCGAGCACCCTGATGTACCAGAAGATGATGTCTATGCAGTAGATGACGCGTCCGATGCCCAGGAGGGGTTCATTCTGCAGCCTCAGCAGAAGGCCAACCAGGAAGGTGGAGATGGCTGCCAGGTCAGTGATGTTCCAGACCTCTTCCAGCCATACATTGATCTTCTGCTTCAGCTTCCCAGGCTCTGACATCAGGATCTAACGGTCAAGGTCAAAGTTAGTAACCCCAGCACTGACATCAGGATCTAAGGGTCAAGGTCAAAGTAAGGCTCTGACATCAGGATCTAAGGGTCAAGGTCAAAGTAACTAAGTAAGCCTTTTCCGAGCCAAATCCGTGCATGGGGCAGGATGTCCCATTTCTGTAGCGAAACATCTTGATGTACTCTACACCCTGTCAGACATCAAAGTCTGTGAGGGAAGTACAAGGCATCAATCAATGCTCACATACAGTAGAGCTGCATCTGAAATTGCCTATTCCCTATAATGTATTATATAGGAGGTTGGGAATTTTTTATTTTCAGCTGAGAATGAATTCCCCAAGCTTACTTGAACTTGACCTTGAAATTAAACTTGATATTTATTTACCTGTCTGACTTTCTCGAAGCCAAGCGTCAGGATGTAAGCGATGACGGTCCACTCCTGGATGGACGGCCATCGCTCCATCTTCACCAGGATGATGTAGTTATACAGCATCAGATAGCCCAGGTAGGAGATCTAACAGAGAAACAGATGGACCATATAACATAACATACCATACCACTAGACATCAGGTAACCCAATAAGAGATCTAACAGAGAAACAGATGGACCATATAACATAACATACCATACCACTAGACATCAGGTAGCCCAATAAGAGATCTAACAGAGAAACAGATGGACCATATAACATAACATACCATACCACTAGACATCAGGTAGCCCAATAAGAGATCTAACAGAGAAACAGATGGACCATATAACATAACATACCATACCACTAGACATCAGGTAGCCCAATAAGAGATCTAACAGAGAAACAGATAGACCATATAACATAACATACCATACCACTAGACATCAGGTAGCCCAGGTAGGAGATCAGTTTAGTATTTATTAGGATCAGGTAGGAGGTCAGTTTAGTATTTATTAGGATCAGGTAGGAGGTCTGTTTAGTATTTATTAGGGTCAGGTAGGAGGTCAGGTAGGAGGTCAGGTAGGAGGTCAGGTAGGAGGTCAGGTAGGAGGTCAGGTAGGTCAGGTAGGAGGTCAGGTAGGAGGTCAGGTAGGAGGTCAGGTAGGAGGTCAGGTAGGAGGTCAGTTAGGTCAGGTAGGAGGTCAGGTAGGAGGTCAGGTAGGAGGTCAGGTAGGAGGTCAGGTAGGAGGTCAGGTAGGTCAGGTAGGAGGTCTGTTTAGTATTTATTAGGAACAGGTAGGAGGTATGTTTAGTATTTATTAGGATCAGGTAATAATTCAGTTTAGTATTTATTAGGAACAGGTAGGAGGTATGTTTAGTATTTATTAGGATCAGGTAGGAGTCAGGTAGGAGGTCAGGTAGGAGGTCAGGTAGGAGGTCAGGTAGGAGGTCAGGTAGGAGGTCAGGTAGGAGGTCAGGTAGGAGGTTATTACTGTAGTCATACTTACGGTGTTGAACCAGAACTTGGTGAATGGGGCGTCATAGAACTCATAGATTCTCCGTCCAATAGGCTTCCTCCGGACTTTACTGCTGCCCTCCTCCTCGTCCCCCTTCCTTGACACATTGTCATCCTAAAACAATTTTTATTTTATTTATTTTTTTCACCTTAATTTAACCAGGTAAGCCAGTTGAGAACAAGTTCTCATTTACAACTGCGACCTGGCCAAGATAAAGCAAAGCAGTGCGAAAAAAACAACAACACAGAGTTACATATGGGGTAAAACAAAACATAAAGTCAAAAACTACAACAGAAAATATATATACAGTGTGTGCAAATGTAGTAAGTTATGGAGGTAAGGCAATACATAGGCCATAGTGCAAAATAATTGCAATTAGTATTAACACTGGAATGATAGATGTGCAAGAAATGATGGGCAAATAGAGATACTGGGGTGCAAATGAGCAAAATAAATAACAATATGGGGATGAGGTAGTTGGGTGGGCTAATTACAGATGGGCTGTGTACAGGTGCAGTGATCGGTAAGGTGCTCTGACAACTGATGCTTAAAGTTAGTGAGGGAGATAAGAGTCTCCAGCTTCAGAGATTTTTGCAGTTCGTTCCAGTCATTGGCAGCAGAGAACTGGAAGGAATGGCGGCCAAAGGAGGTGTTGGCTTTGGGGATGACCAGTGAGATATACCTGCTGGAGCGCAGACTACGGGTGGGTGTTGCTATGGTGACCAATGAGCTAAGATAAGGCAGGGATTTGCCTAGCAGTGATTTGTAGATGACCTGGTGCCAGTGGGTTTGGCAACGAATATGTAGTGAGGTCCAGCCAACAAGATCTGTTATACTGTTACTATGGGCGTATCTGTTACACTGTTACTATGGGCCTATCTGTTATACTGTTACTACGGGCCTATCTGTTACACTGTTACTATGGGCCTATCTGGTACACTGTTACTATGGGCCTATCTGTTACTATGAACCTATCTGTTACACTGTTACTATGGGCCTATCTGTTACACTGTTACTATGGGCCTATCTGTTACACTGTTACTATGGGCATATCTGTTACACTGTTACTATGGGCCTATCTGTTACTATGGGCCTATCTGTTACTATGGGCCTATCTGTTACACTGTTACTATGGGCCTATCTGTTACTATGGGCCTATCTGTTACACTGTTACTATGGGCCTATCTGTTACACTGTTACTATGGGCCTATCTGTTACACTGTTACTATGGGCCTATCTGTTACAATGGGCCTATCTGTTACACTGTTACTATGGGCCTATCTGTTACTATGGGCCTATCTGTTACACTGTTACTATGGGCCTATCTGTTACTATGGGCCTATCTGTTACTATGGGCCTATCTGTTACTATGGGCCTATCTGTTACTATGGGCCTATCTGTTACTATGGGCCTATCTGTTACTATGGGCCTATCTGTTACTATGGGCCTATCTGTTACTATGGGCCTATCTGTTACTATGGGCTACGTACTATGGATCTGTTACATGGGCCTATCTGTTACTATGGGCCTATCTGTTACTATGGGCCTATCTGTTACTATGGGCCTATCTGTTACACTGTTACTATGGGCCTATCTGTTACTATGGGCCTATCTGTTACTATGGGCCTATCTGTTACTATGGGCCTATCTGTTACTATGGGCCTATCTGTTACGTTACTATGGGCCTATCTGTTACTATGGGCACTTACTGGTTTACTATGGGCCTATTTTACTATGCGCTATCTGTTACTATGGGCCTATCGTTTACTATGGGCCTATCTGTATACATCTGTTACTATGGGCCTATCTGTTACTATGGGCCTATCTGTCATGTTACTATGGCCTATCTGTTACTATGGGCCTATGTACAGCTCGTTACTATGGGCCTATCTATTACTATGGGCCTATCTGTTACACTGTTACTATGGGCCTATCTGTTACTATGGGCATCTTTTAGGCCATCTGTGTTACTATGGGCCTATCTGTTACTATGGGCCTATGTTACCACTGTTACTAGGCTATCTGTTACTATGGGCTATCTGTTACTATGGGCTCTATCTGTTACTAGGGCCTATCTGTTACTATGGGCCTATCTGTTACTATGGCTATCTGTTCTATGGGCCTATCTGTTACTATGGGCCTATCTGTTACTATGGGCCTATCTGTTACACGTTACATGGGCCTATCTGTACTATGGGCCTATCTGTTACTATGGGCCTATCTGTTACTATGGGCCTATCTGTTACTATGGGCCTATCTGTTACTATGGGCCTATCTGTTACTATGGGCCTATCTGTTACACTGTTACTATGGGCCTATCTGTTACTATGGGCCTATCTGTTACATCTGTTACTATGGCCTATCTGTTACTATGGGCATCTTTATCTGTTACTATGGGCCTATCTGTTACTATGGGCCTATCTGTTACTATGGGCCTATCTGTTACTATGGGCCTATCTGTTACTATGGGCCTATCTGTTACACTGTTACTATGGGCCTATCTGTTACTATGGGCCTATCTGTTACCCTGTTACTATGGGCCTATCTGTTACTATGGGCCTATCTGTTACTATGGGCCTATCTGTTACTATGGGCCTATCTGTTACTATGGGCCTATCTTGTACTCTGTTACTATGGGCCTATCTGTTACTATGGGCCTATCTGTTAACGGCTAGTTACATGGGCCTATCTGTTACTATGGGCTATCGTTACTATGGGCCTATCTGTTACTATGGGCCTATCTGTTACTATGGGCCTATCTGTTACCACTGTACTATGGGCTATCTGTTACTATGGGCCTATCTGTTACTATGGGCCTATCTGTTACACTGTTACTATGGGCCTATCTGTTACTATGGGCCTATCTGTACTACTATGGGCCTATCTGTTACTATGGGCCTATCTGTTACTATGGGGCCTTACTAGGGCCTAATGTTACTATGGGCCTATCTGTTACTATGGGCCTATCTGTTACTATGGGCCTATCTGTTACTATGGGCCTATCTGTTACTATGGGCCTATCTGTTACTATGGGCCTATCTGTTACTATGGGCCTATCTGTTACTATGGGCCTATCTGTTACTATGGGCCTATCTGTTACTATGGGCCTATCTGTTTACTATGGGCCTATCTGTTACTATGGGCCTATCTGTTACTATGGGCCTATCTGTTACTATGGGCACTATTGTTACTATGGGCCTATCTGTTACTATGGGCCTATCTGTTACTATGGGCCTATCTGTTACTATGGGCCTATCTGTTACTATGGCCTATCTGTTTACTATGGGGCTATCTGTTTACTATGGGCTATCTGTTACTATGGGCTATCTGTTACATGGGCCTATCTGTTACTATGGGCCTATCTGTTACTATGGGCCTATTGGTTCACTGTTACTATGGGCCTATCTGTTACTATGGGCCTATCTGTTACATGGTACTATGGGCCTATCTGTTACTATGGGCCTATCTGTTACTATGGCCTATCTTTACTATGGGCCTATCTGTTACTATGGGCCTATCTGTTAAACTATGGCCTATCTGTTACTATGGGCCTACTGAAGGTTTTGCCACTGTTACTATGGGCTATCTGTTACTATGGGCCATCTGTTACTATGGGCCTATCTGTACTATGGGCCTATCTGTTACTAGGCACTGTTACTATGGGCCTATCTGTTACTATGGGCCTATCTGTACTATGGGCCTATCTGTTACTATGGGCCTATCTGTTACTAGGGCCTATCTGTTACTATGGGCCTATCTGTTTACGTAATGGCCTATCTGTTACTATGGCCTATCTGTAAATGGGCCCTATTTACATGGGACAACATCTGTTACTATGGGCCTATCTGTACATGGGAATCTGTTATATGGGCTATTGTATATGGCATCTGTTACTTGGGCCATCTGTTACTATGACCTATTGTACAGTTAAGGCCATCTTACTATGGGCCATCTGTACATGGGCCTATCTGTACATGGGCATCTGTTACTAGGCCACTGTTACTATGGGCTATCTTTACATGGGCTATCGATATGGCCATCTAACTAGCCTACTTTACATGGGCTATCTGTACAGGTATGATATGCCACTGTCTATGCACTGTTATATGGGCATCTGTACATGGCCAGTGAACTAGGGCACTACTATGGCTATGCACCACTGAATGGGCTTGTTACATGGGCCTCTGTGGCTATTGTATAGGCCAGCTCCATTAATGCATCTGGGATCTGTAAGGCTGTCAGGCCTGAACATGGGAGTACATACGTACATGTTCTGTAATGCTTTAGGGGATGGAGAGGGAGTGTAATAAGAATGCAGTGATTCAGGTTGTTTGGAAAAACAAAATAATACAAGGTGGCTAAGGACACATGGAGTCATACAGCACACCACTTCGTACTAGTGGTGCCTTTGCTGATAGCTGCTTTATTGAAGATGAATGCACTAACTGGACATCGCTCTGGAGCGTCTGCTAAATGACCACAATGTCAATGGAAGTTCAAGGAACAGAGTCTTGTGGATGAACATCGCACTACTCTGACAAGCATTTCGTGATATGTTGGTCAACCTGTATCTTCTATACCTTGGTGTCATCGTCCTTGTCTTTGCCTTCCTCAGAGTCAGCCGTGTAGGACTGGTCGTCTCCTTTGAAGTCCACCAGCAGAAGAATAGATGGAGGGAATATGATGCCCAGAATCACCTAGGAAGACAAAACCCTCTTGTCACAAAGTGCTTTACAGCTGTACCAGGTAGAGATGAAGAGTATTGTCCACGTGGTCATGAAGGTCAGACTGTTTCTCAACTCATGGGGTTGTTTCTGCTTTACAACAAAGACAAAAGCAGATACAAGACAGCTAAGGAACAACTCCCTGGAAGGAGGAAATCTTGAGAGGAACCAATAGAACCAGGGGTTATTACTGCTGCACCCCTGAAAAGATAGAAAGTCAATGGTGGTATTTCAAGCCGAGGAGTGAAGTTACCAATTCAACTCGGGTAATTTACCTTAAGCCCGGGGTTCTTCCCCATTCTCAGATTTCCCATCCACATGTCAGTCAGCAGCATCTGGCTGCAGGTGTGGGCGATGAAGTCTCTGTGCTTGGCGGCCACGGCCAACTTCAGACAGGTGGAGTTGCTCCAGTTGGTCAGCTCATAGGTCAGCAGCTTCATGGCCACCTGTTCATCGTGCTTATATGACTGGTCCAGGAGCTCGTAGGCCAACTGGCCAAACTCCCTGTGGAGAGAGAGAGAGAGAGAGAGAGAGAGAGAGAGAGAGAGATCTCCTTTTACTAAGACTTTATGGCCTGAAAAATCGGAGATCTTAATCCGGCTTTCTATACTAAGGACAACGGGAAATAGGGTGTGTGGAACTATAGGTTGAACTAGGCCGTCATTGTAAATAAGAATTTGTTCTTAATTGACTTGCCTGGTTAAATGAAGGTTGAATAAAATAAGATAATCACCACAGTGTATCTGGCTTGAAGGACCTTGACAATTAGGAGACATTAGGTGAGGCAAAAGTAGTAGAATTTTAGGGAATGTAGAATGTTTTTATCATCAGCGACAATGACCTGCCTCTCTGTGATGATCACGAGAGGAACCACTATCTCAGTAGAGGGAGAAGTAGAAGACAGGAAACACTATCTCAGTAGTGGGAGAAGTAGAAGACAGGAAACACTATCTCAGTAGAGGGAGAAGTAGAAAACAGGAACCACTATCTCAGTAGAGGGAGAAGTAGAAGACAGGAAACACTATCTCAGTAGTGGGAGAAGTAGAAGACAGGAAACACTATCTCAGTAGAGGGAGAAGTAGAAGACAGGAAACACTATCTCAGTAGAGGGAGAAGTAGAAGACAGGAAACACTATCTCAGTAGAGGGAGAAGTAGAAGACAGGAAACACTATCTCAGTAGAGGGAGAAGTAGAAGACAGGAAACACTATCTCAGTAGAGGGAGAAGTAGAAGACGGAAACACTATCTCAGTAGAGGGAGAAGTAGAAGACAGGAAACACTATCTCAGTATAGGGAGAAGTAGAAGACAGGAAACACTATCTCAGTAGAGGGAGAAGTAGAAGACAGGAAACACTATCTCAGTAGAGGGAGAAGTAGAAGACAGGAAACACTATCTCAGTAGAGGGGAGAAGTAGAAGACAGGAAACACTATCTCAGTAGTGGGAGAAAGTAGAAGACAGGAAACACTATCTCAGTAGAGGGAGAAGTAGAAGACAGGAAACACTATCTCAGTAGAGGGAGAAGTAGAAGACAGGAAACACTATCTCAGTAGAGGGAGAAGTAGAAGACAGTGAAACACTATCTCAGTAAGGGAGAAGTAGAAGACAGGAAACACTATCTCAGTAGAGGGAGAAGTAGAAGAACAGGAAACCTATCTCAGTAGAGGGAGAAGTAGAAGACAGGAAACACTATCTCAGTAGTGGGAGAAGTAGAAGACAGGAAACACTATCTCAGTAGAGGGAGAAGTAGAAGACAGGAAACACTATCTCAGTAGAGGGAATAGTAGAAGACAGGAAACACTATCTCAGTAGAGGGAGAAGTAGAAGACAGGAAACACTATCTCAGTAGAGGGAGAAGTAGAAGACAGGAAACACTATCTCAGTAGAGGGAATAGTAGAAGACAGGAAACACTATCTCAGTAGAGGGAGAAGTAGAAGACAGGAAACACTATCTCAGTAGTGGGAGAAGTAGAAGACAGGAAACACTATCTCAGTAGAGGGAGAAGTAGAAGACAGGAAACACTATCTCAGTAGAGGGAATAGTAGAAGACAGGAAACACTATCTCAGTAGAGGGAGAAGTAGAAGACAGGAAACACTATCTCAGTAGAGGGAGAAGTAGAAGACAGGAAACACTATCTCAGTAGTGGGAGAAGTAGAAGACAGGAAACACTATCTCAGTAGAGGGAGAAGTAGAAGACAGGAAACACTATCTCAGTAGAGGGAGAAGTAGAAGACAGGAAACACTATCTCAGTAGAGGGAGAAGTAGAAGACAGGAAAACACTATCTCAGTAGTGGGAGAAGTAGAAGACAGGAAACACTATCTCAGTAGAGGGAGAAGTAGAAGACAGGAAACACTATCTCAGTAGAGGGAGAAGTAGAAGACAGGAAACACTATCTCAGTAGTGGGAGAAGTAGAAGACAGGAAACACTATCTCAGTAGTGGGAGAAGTAGAAGACAGGAAACACTATCTCAGTAGAGGGAGAAGTAGAAGACAGGAAACACTATCTCAGTAGAGGGAGTAGTAGAAGACAGGAAACACTATCTCAGTAGAGGGAGAAGTAGAAGACAGGAAACACTATCTCAGTAGTGGGAGAAGTAGAAGACAGGAAACACTATCTCAGTAGAGGGAGAAGTAGAAGACAGGAAACACTATCTCAGTAGAGGGAGAAGTAGAAGACAGGATCTCACTTGGAGTTGTTGTCCAGGTCCTCGGCGATATCATCCACCAGTTCACTATCAGACGACTCTTTAGCCATGGCTGTGTATAGCTTACAGGCCACCAGAGCCTTGGCCATGGCCTCCTCCCCACGTTGCCACAGAAACAGGGCCATCTTCTGGCGCTTCATGAGAACGGCCCACACCATCAGCTCGTGGAAGGGGTAGGTGAAGCGACAGACCTCAGGGTCGTCCACATCTATCTCCACCTCCTCTTCTTTCTTCTTCTTCCCTTTCTTCTTCTGTCCCCTCGGCTCCTCGTCCTGGTGGAACACAGGAAGTGACACGGGTGAAGTGAGGGTGTTAGGGCAGATAACACACAGAGGGGAACGTTTAGAATAGTGTTGTTCAGATAACTTTTAGAATAGTGTTGTTCAGATAACGTTTAGAATAGTGTTGTTCAGATAACTTTTAGAATAGTGTTGTTCAGATAACTTTTAGAATAGTGTTGTTCAGATAACTTTAGAATTGTTCAGATACTTTTAGATAGTGTTGTTCAGATAACTTTTAGAATAGTGTTGTTCAGATAACTTTTAGAATAGTGTTGTTCAGAGAACCTTTAGAATAGTGTCGTTCAGAGACCTTAGAATAGGTTGTTCAGATAACGTTTAGAATAGTGTTGTTCCAGATAATTTTTAGAATAGTGTTGTTCAGATAACTTTTAGAATAGTGTTGTGTTTTGTGAACTGTACCATCCAACATCTCTCTTTGTAAAGGAATACAACATTTCTAGCATGGTTGCATGATGGAAATAGTGTACAGTATTTCTAGAACAAAGACTTGCTCTTACCTCCAGCCCAAGCATCTTCAAGGCTTTTGGCTGCAAACAACCAGAAGAAGGGAGGGATAATGTCATGTTAGACATGGTTAATAACATCATATGGTATAATGTCATGTTAGACATGGTTAATAACATCATATGGTATAATGTCATGTTAGACATGGTTAATAACATCATATGGTATAATGTCATGTTAGACATGGTTAATAACATCATATGGTATAATGGTTCATAATGTAATGTAGACATGGTTAATAACATCATATGGTATAATGTCATGTTAGACATTGTTAATAACATCATATGATATTGATAAGTTCTTTGGTTGGTGAGCCTTTCCTTTCTATTGTGTTTCTTGTGTGATCTAGTTACTGATGCCACCTGTCTTACCCTCTTCAGTCAATACAGGTTGTTCTAGAGCTAACTAGTCTTACCCTCTTCAGTCAATACAGGTTGTTCTAGAGCTAACTAGTCTTACCCTCTTCAGTCAATAGAGGTTGTTATAGAGCTAACTAGTCTTACCCTCTTCAGTCAATACAGGTTGTTCTAGAGCTAACTAGTCTTACCCTCTTCAGTCAATAGAGGTTGTTATAGAGCTAACTAGTCTTACCCTCTTCAGCCCGTAGAGGTTGTTATAAAGCTAACTAGTCTTACCCTCTTCAGCCCGTAGAGGTTGTTATAAAGCTAACTAGTCTTACCCTCTTCAGCCCGTAGAGGTTGTTATAGAGCTAACTAGTCTTACCCTCTTCAGCCCGTAGAGGTTGTTATAGAGCTAACTAGTCTTACCCTCTTCAGCCCGTAGAGGTTGTTATAGAGCTAACTAGTCTTACCCTCTTCAGCCCATAGAGGTTGTTATAGAGCTAACTAGTCTTACCCTCTTCAGCCCGTAGAGGTTGTTATAGAGCTAACTAGTCTTACCCTCTTCAGCCCGTAGAGGTTGTTATAGAGCTAACTAGTCTTACCCTCTTCAGCCCGTAGAGGTTGTTATAGAGCGCCCTGAAGTTCTTCCTGGTGTAGTTACAGCGGTAAGCCCCGCCCATCAGGTGCTCCATCACCAGACCGATGTCAATCAGAGTGATCTGGTAGTCTGGTGGGAGGTTGCCCTGGAACACCACAGATTATTCTCACAGATTACATTACTGTAATCCCTGATTACACACCTGGCTGTAACAGCACAAACCACACTTTCATTAAACTGAAACAGGCCAAATAATGTTGAATGAGGAAGAATGTCTCCCATGAATCAGAGAGATCATCTTACCTTCTTGACATCTCTCACCACAACATGCAGCGTGTTAGCAGGACCCAGTCTCTGTGTGTTAGAGAAAGTTGTACAATATGAATAAAATACATGAACACTTGTTGTTCCACTGTACAGGGTTAAGATCCTCTCTGTGATGGACACACACTGTGCTCCTCTCTCTGAATCCTAAATCAAACCCTAACCCTAGAAGTGGATATGGGGTTGATTTGGGACTCAGGGCAAGTCTCTACATTAGCGTGGTCTTGTCTCATCTCACCATGTTGTACAGCGCCTCCAGGCGAGGGATGGTGAGGAAGTGGTGGACATTATGATCGTCTGTCTGTCTGTCTGTCTGTCTGTCTGTCTGTCTGTCTGTCTGTCTGTCTGTCTGTCTGTCTGTCTGTCTGTCTGTCTGTCTGTCTGTCTGTCTGTCTGTCTGTCTGTCTGTCTGTCTGTCTGTCTGTCTGTCTGTCTGTCTGTCTGTCTGTCTGTCTGTCTGTCTGTCTGTCTGTCTGTCTGTCTGTCTGTCTGTCTGCCTGCCTGCCTGCCTGCCTGCCTGCCTGCCTGCCTGCCTGCCTGCCTGCCTGCCTGCCTGCCTGCCTGCCTGCCTGCCTGCCTGCCTGCCTGCCTGCCTGCCTGCCTGCCTGCCTGCCTGCCTGCCTGCCTGTCTGTCTGTCTCACCGTGTTGTAGAGTTCCTCCAGGCGAGGGATGGTGAGGAAGTGGTGGATGTTGACCCCGTTCTCTATCAGCAGCTTGACAAAGTCCACTCTGTCCAGAACCAGGGCGTCCATCATGGCCTGCTCCAGAGAGTTCACCTGGGAGAGGCACACATTCATGACTGGCGCCACTACTCTTTATATTTAGATGCCGGAGCTCATGGTATTTCAGAACTAATATTATATCAAGCAGTAGAAAATGTTACGTGCCAAGCACCGGGCCAACTCAAGCACTGTTCTCACCCATCGCATTAGTTCTATCTTCCTAGGGTCAGTCTCCTCTGGTGGGTCAGGCTTGACCTTCCCTCCTCTCCCCTTTTTCCCCCGGGCCTTGGCCTTGTTCCTGGGGGCAGTGGCCGGACTCTTCTGCCTCTCTGTGGTAGTGGCTATGGTGCCACTGCTGTTGGCTAGGGCACTGGCAGGCTGGGGGAGGAGCGGAGGTTCATTGCAAAAAACATGTTCATTAAAATGTGATTTGGTTTTTGTGTTCATGTTCATAATCAACTAGTAGGATTAATCTTCTTTATCCAAAAAGATGAGGGGAAATGTTAAGAGTCCAATTCCTAAAATGGTCATTTAATAGGAATGGAGAGGGTCCTTACAAAGCCGTAATACCCTAGTGGGATCACTGTACCTTTGGGAACATATCGGGATCATATTACGTCAGGATGTTCCTAGATCTCTGTCATTAATGTGTCTGTCTGTATCAAAACTCATTTCAGTTAGTGTGGTCTGACATCCTTCCAGTTAATACTGTAAAGTAAATATTTGACAAATACAGAAAAGATTATGTTTCTTTTTCAGAATTTGATAATCTCTTTCTGTGGTTTTGAGGTGATGCTTCATGGCAGGTTTGTATGGTGACTGTCTCGGATCAGCAACAGATGAGGTGGCCTTAGCCAGGGTTACGAAATTCCTGTTACCTTCCCAAATTCCTGTTACCTTCCCAAAATAAACTTCCCTTATTTTCCAGAAATCCTGGTTAGAGTATTCCGAAATGTCTGCTTAAATTATCCACCTGGGGTATCTGGAAAACTTGGGAAATTTACCGGAGTTTTGCAACCTTAAGTGGACTGCACGGTGGACTGCAGGGTAGTCTGGTAAATGACTCACTGGTAGATGGTGACCGTAGACGAAGATCTGGTTGCGTGCTATGTCCACTCTGTTCCAGGCCAGAGCTAGACTCAGCTGGTCCGGGGCCGAGGCGTTGGTTCCTGGGAGTACACAACATAGACAGTGTCATTGGTAGAGGCTCTTGGTGCCTAGCAACACACAGGACAGTCCCATTCATCTGCCATACCCTTAAGAACTGTGCACCCTGACTTCACAGGGCAGTTATGGCAATCAGTTTTAAATCAGAAAAGTAAGTAAGTGCACAGAAAAAAACTCCTTAGCGATTTTAACACCCACAGAGCTAAAAGTAACATATTCAAAGTGTACATCCGAAAAAGTGTTAAATTAATTAAAATATAGAAATCAAAATGGATGGTCTTCAGAAATAGAGGGGAGGGGTTGAGGGTAGCTGAAGGATCGGACTAAAAACGAACAAAAGATAACTATTGTAAAAAAGATTGTGTCCGTAAAATGTCTATAGAATGTATGACCTGGAAGTAGAAGCCTAAGTGTTGTTGTCCATTAGTTTACTCCAATTAGGGGAGGGCTGGTAGGGTTAGGGGAAAATAATAAAGGAACATATATTTTAAAAGATGTGTATATATATATATATATATGTATATGTATATGTATTTTATATGTATGTGTGAGTATGTACAGTGGGCTCCAAAATTACTGGCACCCCTGACTGGCAATGCACAAAAAAATACTTAAAAATATATAATTATAGAGATGAACTCAAAATACCAACATGTGAGAAATACTGTGCTATATTAATGTTCCAATGGAACCCACCAAAATCATTTATTGATTGAATTAAAAATCAATGTCCTCCAAATCAAGGTTTTACAATGAATGGCACCCTTAAAGATTATTATAAATAACATCTACCAACATTAAACCAGGAATTAAATTCCACTTATTTAAGTTTATCTAAGTCTTCAGGAACTATATTGAGCCATTACATCACTTCCTGTTTCACTAGGGTATATAAATGAGGTAACTCTAATGCAATATCCCTTTGTCATTCAACACCATAAAGAAAACAAAAGAACTGGCAGTAGAAAAGAGACAGATGGTCGTAGACCTTCATAAATCTGGTAAAGGCAACAAGAAGATCCACAAACGATTGAATATACCAATGAGCACTGTCAATTAAAAAGATATGGAACAGTTGAAAACCTCACGGGTAGAGGACGCAAATGCATCTTGCCCCCCAGGATAGGGAGGAGGATGGTGAGAGAAGCAACAAAATCCCCAAGAATCACTGTGAAAGAATTGCAGGCCTTGGTGGCGTCTTGGGGTCACCAGGTTTCAAAAAGCACCATCAGATGCCACCTCCACAACCACAGGCTCTTTGGAAGGGTTGCCAGAAGAAAGCCCTTTCTGACCCCAAGACACAGACGCAAGTGCTTGGAGTTTGCCAAACGTCATTTAAATGATGACTGGAAGAAGGTGCTCTGGTCAGATGAGACCAAAATTGAACGTTTTGGTCAGATACAGCATCGGCATGTTTGGCTTCGAAACAGAGATGCAGACAAGGAGAGGCACCTCATACCCACGGTGAAATATGGTGGTGGGTCAGTGATGTTTTGGGGCTGTTTTAATTGCAGAGGTCCAGGGGCACTGGTTAAGATTGATGGCATAATGAATTCCACCAAGTATCAGGCAATTTTGAATGACAATCTGGTTGCCTCTGCCAGAAGGCTGGGACTTGGCCGTAGGTGGACTTTCCAACAAGACAATGACCCAAAACATACCTCAAGATCCACACAGAAATGGTTCTGTGACAACAAAATCAATGTTCTGCCATGGCCATCTCAGTCGCCGGACCTCAATCCAATCAAAAATCTGTGGGCTGAGTTGAAGAGGGCCGTTGACAAGCACAAACCCAAGAATGTGAAGGATCTTGAAAGGATATGCATAGAGGAATGGTCCAAAATCCCTCCAAATGTGTTCCTTAACCTTGTCAAACATTACAGGAAAAGACTCCATGCTGATATCCTTGCCAGAGGTGGCTGCACTAAGTACTAAACAAGGATAATAATTATGAAACCTTGATTTTGGTGACATTTATCTTTTATTAAATCATTGTATGATTTGGGTTGGTTCCATTGAAACATTAATAAATGTATGTATGTATGTATGTATGTATATATACAGTATATATAATATATATACACAGTGAGGGAAAAAAGTATTTGATCCCCTGCTGATTTTGTATGTTTGCCCACTGACAAAGACATGATCAGTCTGTAATTTTAATGATAGGTTTATTTGAACAGTGAGAGACAAAATAACAACAAAAAAATCCAGAAAAACGCATGTCAAAAATGTTATAAATTGATTTGCATTTTAATGAGGGAAATAAGTATTTGACCCCTCTGCAAAACATGACTTAGTACTTGGTGGCAAAACCCTTGTTGGCAATCACAGAGGTCAGCCGTTTCTTGTAGTTGGCCAACAGGATTGCACACATCTCAGGAGGGATTTTGTCCCACTCCTCTTTTGTCCCACTCCAGATCTTCTCCAAGTCATTAAGGTTTCGAGGCTGACGTTTGGCAACTCGAACCTTCAGCTCCCTCCACAGATTTTCTATGGGATTAAGGTCTGGAGACTGCCTAGGCCACTCCAGGACCTTAATGTGCTTCTTCTTGAGCCACTCCTTTGTTGCCTTGGTCGTGTGTTTTGGGTCATTGTCATGCTGGAATACCCATCCACGACCCATTTTCAATGCCCTGGCTGAGGGCAGGAGGTTCTCACCCAAGATTTGACGGTACATGGCCCCGTCCATCGTCCCTTTGATGCGGTGAAGTTGTCCTATCCCCTTAGCAGAAAAACACCCCCAAAGCATAATGTTTCCACCTCCATGTTTGACGGTGGGGATGGTGTTCTTGGGGTCATAGGCAGCATTCCTCCTCCTCCAAACACGGCGAGTTGAGTTGATGCCCAAGAGCTCGATTTTGGTCTCATCTGACCACAACACTTTCACCCAGTTCTCCTCTGAATCATTCAGACGGGCCCTTATATGTGCTTTCTTGAGCAGGGGGACCTTGGGGGCGCTGCAGGATTTCAGTCCTTCACGGCGTAGTGTGTTACCAATTGTTTTCTTGGTGACTATGGTCCCAGATGCCTTGAGATCATTGACAAGATCCTCCCGTGTAGTTCTGGGCTGATTCCTCACCGTTCTCATGATCATTGCAACTTCATGAGGTTAGATCTTGCATGGAGCCCCAGGCCGAGGGAGATTGACAGTGCTTTTGTGTTTCTTCCATTTGCGAATAATCTTACCAACTGTTGTCACCTTCTCACCAAGCTGCTTGGCGATGGTCTTGTAGCCCATTCCAGCCTTGTGTAGGTCTACAATCTTGTCCCTGACATCCTTGGAGAGCTCTTTGGTCTTGGCCATGGTGGAGAGTTTGGAATCTGATTGATTGATTGCTTCTGTGGACAGGTGTCTTTTATACAGGTAACAAGATTAGATTTGGAGCAGTCCCTTTAAGAGTGTGCTCCTAATCTCAGCTCGTTACCTGTATAAAAGACACCTGGGAGCCAGAAATCTTTCTGATTGAGAGGGGGTCAAATACTTATTTCCCACATTAAAATGCAAATCAATTGCAATTTGACATGCGTTTTTCTGGATTTTTTGGTTGTTATTCTGTCTCTCACTGTTCAAATAAACCTACCATTAAAATTATAGACTGATCATTTCTTTGTCAGTGGGCAAACGTACAAAATCAGCATGGGATCAAATACTTTTTTCCCTCACTGTATATATATATATATATATATATATATATATATATATATATATATATATATATATATCTATATATATATATATATATATATATATATTTACAAAGATATATATGGGGGATTGGAAGTGATGCAGACAATTCCATTGATGGAAGCTACAATCTATCTGCAATATTAAAGCTGATCCCTCATATATAAAGAATGAAAAGAGAAAAATAAATAAACAATGCAAACCTTTTAATAAGGCAGTCAGAATGGCCATTTCGATATCTTGATGTCCTTCAGAACCCATTCGGAACACTGTTATCTGAGAGAAGAGAATAGAACAAACATTCTGTTCTTGTCATGTGTGGTATAAAATAAAATATAATCAATTCAAATTGTATTTGTCACATGCGCCGAATACAACAGGTACCTTACAGTGAAATGCTTACTTCAAGCCCTTATCCAACAATGCAGTTTTAAGAAAATAGAGTTAAGAAAATATTTACTAAATAAACTAAAGTAAAATAAATAAATATGTAAAATAAGTAACACAATAAAACAACAATAACGAGGCTATATACAGGGGGTACCGGTACCGAGTCAATGTACGGGGGCACCGGTTAGTGGAGGTAATTTGTACATGTAGGTAGGGGTAAAGTGACTATGCATAGATAATAGACAGCGAGTAGCAGCAGTGTAAAAACAAACGGGGTGGGGGGGGGGGGGGGGGGGGGGGTTCAATGTAAATAGTCCAGGTGGCCATTTGATGAATTGTTAAGGAGCCTTTTGGTCCTAGACTTGGCGCTCCGGTACCGCTTGCCGTGCAGTAGCAGAGAGAACAGTCTATGACTTGGGTGACTGGAGTCTTTGACAATATTTTGGGCCTTCCTCTGACACCGCCTGGTATAGAGGTCCTGGATGGCAGGAAGCTTGGCCCCAGTGATGTACTGGGCTGTACGCACTACCCTCTAAAGTGCCTTACAGTCGGATACCGAGCAGTTGCCATACCAGACGCTGATGCAACCGGTCAGGATGCTCTCGATGGTGCAGCTGTAGAATTTAGACCCATGCCAAATCTTGTCAGTCTCCTGAGGGGGAAAAGGCATTGCGTGCCCTCTTCACGACTTTCTTGTTGTGTTTGGACCATAATGGTTTGTTGGTGATGTGGACACAAAGAAACTTGAAACTGTCGTCTCGCTACACTACAGCCCCACCGATGTAAATGGGGACGTGTTCGGCCCTCAGTTTCCTGTAGTCCACGATAATCTCCATTGTCTTGCTCACGTTGAGGGAGAGGTTGTTGTCCTGGCACCAAATGGCCAGGTCTCTGACCTCCTCCCTATAGTCTGTCTCAT